CTTTCAGCAAATTTTGATAATCCTCAAAAATGACTAGATCTGATCCACGCAGCTGGATTCTTTGCGAAATCCAGCTTGTTCTACAGTTTGGGCTTCATCCAGTGTCCTTGATATGCGAACAAGAATTATCTTCTTGAAGAGCTTGTAAAGCACGCTCAGCAGGCATATTGGACGGTAGTTCCGAAGATCCTTCTTATCGTCCTACTTGCGAAGGAGGATTGTTCGGGAGGCTCTCCACTGGAGGATTCATTATTTTGAAGGTAAGACGTCAGATGTTCAAATATCTCGTGTAGGCGATGTCTCTCAGCTCGTAAGAGATCGGCGGAAACATGGTCCGATTCCAGAGCCGTGGCTGCTTTCATGGTCTGAATTGTGATGCGTACTTCAGCAGATAGAGTCCGAGATGGTATTTTTACAGTGAGAATAACGGGATTGGCAGGGTGTTGACGAACGAAAGAGACTGGTGTAGATTCTCTTTATGATTCCCTCTTTCGTTAAGAAGATGTGCGAGTTCCGTGTTCGTTTAGTAATAGTGGAACATGATAGTCGAGAAGGTTCCTACGGTCTTCTTTATACTTCTTTATCCTTGTGCTACTTCCAAAATTTTCGATTGCCTGTACTTTCGAAGATCTTCTTGCAAAGCTGTTCTGCAACTGGTATTGGAAGTCGCTCTAGATGCAATTGGATCCAGCCTCAGTGCTCTCCTCCTCCCTAGCAGATCATTTGGCTTTCGAAATCCGTTCCGAGTTCCTTGTTGCATTGAGGACCGTTCACCATAGGCCCTTAGCCTCTAAGAAGAGGTCATAGTCTTTAGTTGGGTCCTCCTCAATGGGGCAATCACAAGTGGTCAGGGGCCTACGAATTCTCTTCTCTTTCCAACATGGCGACAAACCTTTCTCGGACAAACTTTCGGCTGAATCGCACTTTTGCTCGAAGGAGGCGGTGATGCGAACCACTGCTGGAGAATGGTACGACTGAGACGTCCAGTAAGCACCACCTTCGGTTGACGAGAATGTGGTCGATCTCCGCATAAGTTGTACCGTTGGGTAACTCATGTCCAGCGTGTTCTTTCTTCTTGAAGATAATTTGCCATGAAAAAGGCGTGCGGCAGCCAACA